GAAAATATCTCAAGAAAATAAAGGCCATATATGACAAAACCACAGCAAATATCATTCTCTATGGAGAAAAATTGACAGCTATCCCTCTAAGAACAGGAACCAGACAACGATGCCCACTTTCACCACTCTTGTTTAACATAACATTGGAAGTCCCAGCCAGAGTAATCAGGCAAGAAAAAGAAATAAAGGAGATCCATGTTGGACAAGAAGAAGTGAAACTCTCACTCTTTGCAGACGACATGACTTTATATATAAAAAACCCTAAAGAATCCACTAAAACACTTTTGAGAAATAATCAACATCACTAACTATCAGGGAAATGCAAATCAAAACTACAAGGAGATATCACCCCTTCAGGTCAGAATGGCCACAATTAACGAGACAGGAAGCAACAAGTGTTGGAGAAGATGTGGAGATAAGGGAACCCTCAAACGCTTCTCGTGGGGGTGCACACTGGTGCAGACACTATTGAAAGCAATATGGAGTAGCCTCAGAAAATGAAGAATAGATCTACCATACGATCCAGCTATTCCACTGGTGGGTATTTATCCAAGAAACATGAAAACACAAATGCATAAATATACATGCACCTCTATGTTCATTGCAGCATTATTCACAATAGCCAAGACTTGGAAGCAACCTAGGTGCCCATCAAGGGATGAACGGATAAAGATGTGGTTGTTTGTTTTTTGTTGTTGTTGAGTTGTATGAGTTCTTTATATATTTTGGATATTAACCCCTTGTTGGATATATGATTTGTAAATATTTTCTCTCAGTTGGTGGGTTGCCTTTTGTTTTTGTTGATTGTTTCCTTTGGCTTGCAGAAGCTTTTTAGTCTGATGTAGTCCCATTTGTTTATTTTTTCTTTTGTTTTCCTTGCCTTAGTAGACATGGTGTTTGAAAAGATGCTGCTATGACTGATGTCAAAGAGTGTGCTGCCTATATTTTCTTCTAGGAGCTTTATAGTTTCAGGTCTTACATTCAAGTCTTTAATCCATTTTGAGTTAATGTTTTAGTATAGTGCAAGAAAATCTACTTTCACTCTTTGCATGGGGCTGTCAAGTTTTCCCCACACCATTTATTAAAGAGACTTTCTTTTATCCATTTTATGTTCTTGGCTCTTTTGTCGAAGATTAGCTGTCCATAGATGTGTGCTTTTATTTCCGGGCTTTCAATTCTGTCCCACTGATCTGTGTTTCTGTTTTTGTACCAATCTCATGCTTTTTTGATTGGTATAGCTTTGTAGTATGTTTTTAAGTCAGATATTGTGATGTCTCCAGCTTTATTCTTTGTTTTTCAGGGTTGCTTTGGCTTTCAAGGTCTTTTGTTGTGCCACATAATTTTTAACATTCTTTGTTCCATTTCTGTGAAGAATATTTTTGGGATTCTGATTGAGATTGCATTGAATCTGTAGATTGCTTTAAGGAATATGGACATCTTAAACTATGTATATTCTTCCAATCCATGTGCATGGAATATCTTTCCATTTCTTTATGTCTTCATCAAATTCTTTCAATAATGTCTTATGCTTTTCAGTATATAGGTCTTTCACCTCTTTGGTTAAGTTTATTCCTAGATATTTTACTCTTTATGTTATGATTGCAAATGGGATTACATTCTTGAATTCTCTTTCTACTAGTTTGTTATTACTGTATAGAAATGCAATTGATTTTTGTAAGCTGACTTTGTACACTGCAAACTTGCTGTAGTTGATTATTTTATAATAGCTTCTGATGGATTTTTCAGGGTTTTCTATATATATATAATCATGTCATTTGCAAATAGCAAGAGTTTCATTACTTCCTTTCCAGTTTGGATTCCTTTTTCTTGTGTAATTGCTCTGGTCAAAACATCCAGTACTGTGTTGAATAGGAGTGGGGAGAGTGGGCACCTGTTCCTGTTTCTAGAGTGGTGGAGTTTAGCTTTTCACTGTTAAGTCTGATATTGGCTATGGGTTTATCATATTTGGCCTTTAATATATGATGTATTTTCCTTCTATACCCACTTTATTGAGAATTTTTATCATAATGGGATGTTGAATCTTGTCAAATGCTTGCTCTGCATCTATTAAGAGGATCATGTGATTTTTATTCCTCATTCTGTTAATGTGGTGTATCACATTGATTGATTCGCAGATGTTAAACCTTCCATGTGCCCCTGGTGTAAATCCCACTTGATCATGGTGTATGATCCTATTAATGTATTGCTTTATTCAGTATGCCAAATTTTGTTGAGGATTTTTGTATCTATGTTTATCAATGATATTGGCCTGTAATTCTCATTAATTTTGTTGTCCTTGTCTGGTTTTGCTATCAGAGTAATGACCTCATAGAATGAGTTAGGAAGGGTTCAGTCTTTCTCAATCTTTTCGAATAGTTTCAGGAGGATAGACATTAAATCTTGATTGAATATGTGGTAGAATTCTCCGGAGAAGCCATCTCATCCTGGACATTTTTTTCGGTGGGAGGTTGATTACTGTTTCAATCTCTACTTGTGATTGGTCTACTCAGATTCTCTATTCCTTCTTTATTCAGTTTTGGGAGGTTGCAAGAATCTAAGAATTTATCCATTTCTTCTAGTATGTACAATTTGTGGACATATGGTTTTTCACTGTGATTCTTTTTTTTTCACTTATTTTTTTCACTTATGATTCTTTGTATTTCTGCAGTATCTATTGTAGTTTCTTCTCTTTCATTATTTATTTATTTATTTATTTTGCTTGAGACTTCTCTCTTTTTTCTGGTAAAAATCTGGCTAAGGGTTTGTCAATTTTGTTTACCTTATCAAAGAATCCAATCTTACTTTCCTTGATATTTCTATTGTTTTTTAGTCTCCATTTCATTTATTTCTGTTCTAATTTTTATTATTTCACTCCTTCTGCTGACTTTGGGCTTTGTTTATTCTTCTTTTTCTTCTTCTCTTAGAACTAGATTACTTATTAGGTGTTGTGTAAGATTTCTTATTTGAGATTTGTCTTGTTTGTTGTAGTGGGCCTCTACTGCTATGGATTTCCCTCTTAGAACATGTTTTGTTGTTTCCCATAAAAGTTTGTATGTTATAGTTTCATTTCTGTTTGTCTCCCGGTATTTTTCAATTTCTCCTTTGGTTTCTTCATTGATTCAATGGTTGCTCATTAACACGTTGTTTGTCTCCACATATTTGTGACTTTCCCAGCTTTTCTCTTGTAGTTGATTTGCAGTTTCATAGCATTATGGTCAGAAAAGATGCTTGATATGATTTCAATCTTCTTAAGTTTATTGAGGCTTGCCTGGTTTCCCAGCATATGGTATATCTTTGAGAATGTTCTACGTGCACTTGTGAAGAGTGTTTATTCTGTTGTTTGGGGATGAAATGCTCTCTGTATCTATCAAGTCCATATGATCAAATTATTTAAATCCGCTATTTCCTTGTTGACTTTCTGTCTGGATGATCTACCCATTTATGGAAGAGGGGTGTTGGGGTCCCCTATTATTACTGTGTCCTGTTAATTTCTCCCTTTGGTTTGTTACTAGTCACTTTATATACTTTGGTGCTCCTGTGTTAGGTACATACATGTGCAAACGTCTACAAAGCTTTGAGCAAGGAGATAAATAGATAGACAAAAATCACAAAACTGTAGGTCTTTTTCAGAACAGGAGGAAATAATTATAACTTAAAAATAAAGGGAAGGAAAACATATAAAGTAACTATAAACATTTCAATTTAGTCACAAACTTATGACACAAAACAGAATAATTTGTAACAACAATGACTAAGAAGGGGAAGAGGTAGGAGATAGGACCTGCTTAGGCTAATGGAGATAAGAGGCTATTAGAAAAGGGACTACCTCATCTATGAGATCTTTTATACAAACCTCAAGGTAACCACTGACAAAAATCAGAGCAGGGCCACAATTCAGAAAAAAAAGAAAACTGAGAAAACCTCCAAAACAAAAGGATATTCAGACATGCAAAGGATGAGAAGCAATGAAAAAGTAGAACAACCAGAAAACAAGGGATAACATGGCGGTACTAAGCCCTCATATATCAATAACACTCTAAATGTAAACAGACACAGAACAGCTGGATATATTAAAAAACAAGATCCAACAATATGCTGCCTCCAAGAAACACATCTCTGTTCTAAAGATAAACATAGTCTCAGAGTGAAGTGATGGAAGATGATACTCCAAACAAATGGCATACAAAAGAAAGCAGGTATTGCTACACTTATATCAGACAAAGTAGACTTCAAGATAAAAAGGACAATGAGAGATGAAGAGGGACAGTATATAATGATGAAAAGGACTTCCCTTTAGTCATTTTAAAAATAAAATATAATAAACTCTTTTCTCCTGTGATTGTTAGGGGGTTAATGATAAAAGCTGTGTTTATTTCCTCAGTTATTTACTTGATATAGATATCTATCTGTCTATCATCTATCTATCTATCTATCTATCTATCTATCTATCTATCTATACGTATGGTCATTCGAGAACTGAATTATGGTAGCTATTTTGTTTGAGTGGCTATAATGTTAGCACAGTGCATTAAAATATTTAAAAGCTTTCCATTTTCAAGGAGAAAGTATCTTAGTGTTTGATAAAACATTAAAAGATGAACATTTTTACATATAAGAGATGGAACATGCTGATTTCCCCTGAAGTCATAAATTTCCAACTGGTCATCACTCTGAGAATCCAGAATGTTTAGAAATATTTTGGAAGAAATCATTTACTTCAGTGATTCTTATCTTGGCTGAACTTGAAAGTACCTGAGGATTTTGTTTCTTTGTATTTTGATTACAACTTCCTGGCCCTATCCCAGTACAACTAAACCAGAATTTCAAGGATAAGAGATTGGAGAGAAGAGTAAGGCTAAAGAACACTTTGTTTTATCTTTATCAGTGGGCCAAAAGTCCACTCAGAAGAGATTAGAGTTGATTTACCTGGTTGATTGGTCACTTTATATGTCAGAGGCAGATATTGAATTGGCAACAAGTGTTATAAAAGCTTTGGATTTCAGGTCACAGTTGTCTAAGTAAAAAGAGACCATGGATCTGGTTGTGTTCCTGGGGCTCTGTCTCTCCTGCTTGCTTCTCCTTTCACTCTGGAAACGGAGATCCAGGAAAGGGAAGCTCCCACCTGGTCCCACTCCTCTCCCTATTATTGGAAATATCCTGCAGTTAGATGTTAAGAACATCAGCAAATCCTTAAGCAAAGTACGTATGTTTTAAGTTGGCTATGGCTTACAAAAAGTAAGTAAATTAATCTTTACTATTAAATAAAATGTATTCCCGGTGGCAAATGATTAAAATAGATCATTGTACAGAAAATACTCACTCTGGTGGGCTGGGTCGTGGCTGAGTGGTTAAGTTAGCACACTCCACTTTGGCGGCATGGGGTTTTGCCAGTACAAATCCTGGATTTGGAGCTACCACTGCTGGTCAGGCCATGCTGAGAAGGCATCCTACATAGCACAACCAGAATGACCTACAGCTAGAATATACAACTAGGTACTGGGGACTTCAGGGAGAAGAAGAAAAAAAAAGATTCCAGGCTCTGAACTCAGACAGTCTGGAATTTCATATTTAAAAAAAAAAAATACTCTGCATTTCCATGTTTTCATTGTTTGTTTTTTAGTTTGTTCTTGTCAGATAGTGGAATGAAGTGTTGCATTTTGGAGGAAGAGAAACATTTAAATTATCATAAGATAGACTCATAAAGTGGAAAAGTCTGTAGTGCTGCTGCTTGAAATTGTTTCATAGTCATTCATTGTGATTTTTATGCCTTCAGGCAAAAAGAGATTACAGATTTTATTCAAGATGTTACTTTCTTTACAAGCTATGGGTTTTGTTCATATTAGTTGTGAAAATTAAACTTCTCTGAAGAAGAAAATTATGTCTAATGTCAAGAAATAGCTATGGGCTCAGGATCAGCAATCTCGAGTGAAAGAAATAATCATTGAGGATCCACTGGGTGGTAACAGAGTCCTTTTGGATTCTGCACAAAGTTGCTGTCTATACCCTATGAATGATGCAGGATAGAAGAAATTGTTCTTCCATGAGACGCTGCATGTTCTGGCACTGCCTCTGTAATGCTTTCTCTCCTTCTGTATTAGCAATATCAGTGGTTTCAAACTGGAGTAGGTGTTAGACCATCTGGGTTCATTAAAAAAAAAAAACAGATTTCTAGTATTCATTACAGGGCTACTAAATCAAAATTCCCATGAGAAGAATTCCACAAGTGATCCTGAAGCAATCAGCCTCATATTGTTCCAAAGATGGGAGGCATTGTGGACTGATAAATTGCTCAAGCATCAGATGTTGACAAAACATAAGTTCAAATTTGGATCTTTTATTTATTAGCCATCATGCACTGCAAAAGAATTTGTAATTCTTTGTCTTCAATTTCTTTATTTGCAAAACAGGGCAAATAAACTTGCTGAATGTGTTGATGTGAGGATTATATTTAATATGTGTGCCAATTGCCCAGGTCATTCCATGGCACATTGTAGGCCATCCATATGTGGCAGCTATAATAATCATCATATTTATGAATAAAATTCAGAAGTACTTAGAGCAATGATGACAATAAAAATATAAAATGCATCATGATAATATCAGTCTGAATCGTACAAATTATAGACTAAATTGTGACTTCTTTTGCTAAGAATATTTTGCTAAGAATATTTGAATTATCTTTCCGCTTTCCAGCTCTCAAAACTCTATGGCCCTGTGTTCACTGTGTATTTGGGCTTGAAGCCCACTGTGGTGCTGCATGGATATGAAGCAGTGAAGGAAGCCCTGATTGATCTGGGAGAGGAGTTTTCTGGAAGAGGCAGTGTCCCACTTCTTGAAAGATCTAATAAAGGATACGGTAGGTGTGTGTGTGCAAGTTCAGCATTGGTAATGGCAATGAGAAGATAAAAAACAGAGACTTAAAGAGCTCCTTAATTGAGTTTAGCCCATCCACAAGCCTACCACGTGTCGTGTCAGTTTCCTCTTCGTTACTGAGAACCTCCCTTACAGTTTCTGTTTACCCTCTGATAGGATTAGTGTTCAGCAGTGGAAAGAGATGGAAGGAGATCCGGCGCTTTTCCCTCATGACCCTGAGGAATTTTGGCATGGGAAAGAGGAGCATTGAAGAATGTGTTCAACAGGAAGCCCACTGCCTTGTGGAGGAGTTGAGAAAAACCAATGGTGAGTGATTCTATACTCTGTAAGTCTGACATTAACAGGCTGTTCTCTTTTCCAATAACATCCTTGAAAGTACTTTAGGAGTGGACAAATCTTTCATGTGGGTCATGGCTACCAGCCCTCAGGTGCAAAAAGAAGGGTGTGAAGCAGAAAGCCAAGGAAGCTCCAGTGTATGTCTGCTTGTTGTGTGTGTACACTCATGATTGTGCATACAGTCTGGGTATACAAGTTCATTTAATCTTATTCTGTCCCAGCTTTATTTGTTTATTGTCAAATCATTATATTACAAAAGTAGAAAGTTGAGTCTAATTTTTTAAAAGTTAAAGAGTATTGTTTGTCCCATAGAGTAATCATGGGTTACTTCTTCCAGAACATCTTGCCAGGGAACACTTGTCAAGCGTAAGTAACCTTTCATACACTTATGTTGCTGAACCAAGTGACATGTGCTCTCACTTAATTGGACTGTGTTTGTGCCATCATCCCCACTGACAAGCCTGAGGGTTTTTTTGCAATGTCCCTTCCTACAGTTCCCATCAATAATGTTGCTGTATATGATTTTTAATTAAACATACGGTTTTAATTGTTGTGGCATATCTTTGTGCAATTCTCCTCAATTATAATTTTCATATAAAAAGCATGATTTAAAAACTCTCAGCATGAATTCTCATATTACCCACTTCTTAACATATTGAGTTACATATTTCATGAATGTATATGCTACAGCATAATTCTGCAAAACACACAAGTGCCAAGTAGTATAATTATTTAACTAGACTTCAACTATTATTAATCCCCCTCCCTAACTATAATTGGCTCTGTTTTTGGTTTTGCTTATTTTCCTCCCTCTTTTATTGGATTTTGGATTAAAACTAAATGGTAATTATTTACCTCCCACTACCAACTCTAGTAACCTGTGAAGTGCTTTTCAGAATGACTCTGATTTTCCGTTTGGATTCCCAGTTGCCCTGTTTTAAAATTTATCTCCAAATGAAATGAAAGCACAGACTGAAAATTTGATTTTACATGTGGCTCTGTCTCTATAAATCTATGTGAATCCATCTCACACACATATCTTCTAGGTGTTGCAAATTACTGTACACCTCCTTAGCTAAAATAAAGCTCTTTTTCTGAAAGTTTAGAACGCTGGAATGTGTAAAGGAGCCTGGCATAGAAACAGATAACTCAATAGGTCTCCTATTATTCAATGCCCTGTTGTTTCTTCACATTATTTGTGATTCAAGTCACCTTTAATTAAATCTACAAAAGTGAGTTTGGGAGGATTTTGCATATAAAGTTTATTGGTCATTTTATTACAATTTCATTTTACAGATCACCACCAAGAAGAAGACCTTTCCTCTACTTTAATTTCTTTACCTACAAAATGATAGAATTAATAAAATGATGGTAAACTTGAAAATTTACTAAAATACACTATTCTGTTGATGACTATGCAGAATAATATCTCAGAGGTCCACAAGAGAGTGGTTTTGCACAAATAAATTAAATTTGGGAACTAATTGGAGACAGTGGATTCTGCTTCCTAATGTAGAAAATTATTTTTGTTTTCTATATATGAAATGAAGAAATAAAAGGACTCCATTTATCAATTTAAACTCTTTTGTTTGCCTTACCTGGGATTCAGTTTTAAATTAAAATTTCTCATTTTAATTTTATTTAAAGCAAATAAATCTAACATTAATTTTTAAAAATTATTTTATTGAGGATTCATTGGATGTAATGTTGTATAAATATCAGGAGTATATTATTATATTTCAGTTTTTTATGAACTACAATGTGTTCACCATCAACAGTCTAGCTGTTATCCATGACCATACATATGTACCCCTTTACCTCTCTTGCCCTCCCCTAACCCCCTTTTCCTCTGGAAAGCACTAATCTGTACTCCTTTATCTATGTTTTTGTTTATCTTCTACATATGAGTGAAATCACATGATATTGGTCTTTCTCTGTCTGACTTATTTTGCTTAACATAATACCCTTCAGATCCATCCATGTTGTCACAAATGGCACAATTTTTCCTTTTTGATGTCTGAGTAGTATTCCATTATATATATATACACACACATCTTCTTTATCCATTCATATACTGATGGGCACCTGGGTTGCTTCTAAGTCTTGGCTATTGTAAATAATGCTATGATGAACATAGGGGTGCATAAATAATTTTGAGTTATAGATTCTTTTGGATAAATTACCCAGTAATGGAAAAACTGGATGATATAGTATTCTTATTTTTTTTCCAGGCCAATTGCTGTGTAATCCTTATTTTTTTTCAGTTACTTTATTGATGTCATAATGGTTTACAACATTGTGAAATTTCAGGTGTACGTAATTATTTATCGCTTTCTTTATAGACTGCACCCTGCTCACCATCAGTAATCTAATTTTTATCTGTCACCATATATATGTACTCCTTTACCCCTTTTGCCCAACCCCCTTCTCCTCTGTTAATCATTGATCTGTTCTCTTTATCCATGTTTATTCAGCTTCCACATGTGAGTGAAATCATGCAGTATTTATGTTTCTATGTCTGGCTTATTTTGCCTAACATCATACCCTCAAAGTCCATCCATGTTTTTGCAAATGAGACTATTCTATTTTTTATGGCTGAGTAGTATTCCATTGTGTATATATACCACATCTCCCCTATCCATTCATCCATAGGAGGGCCCTTGGGTTGCTTCTACATCTGGGCTATTGTGAGTAATGTTGCAATGAACATAGGGGTGCATAAATACTTTCAATTGTTGATTTCAAATACTTTGGATAAATACCCAGTAGTATGATAGCTGGATTGTATGATATTTCTAATTTTAATTTTTTGAGAAATCTCCCTACTGTTTTCCATAGTAGCTGCATCAGTTTGCATTCCCACCAGGAGTATATGAGGGTTCCCTTTTCTCCATATCCTCTAAAAAGCTTGATATTTCTCATCTTGTAAATTATGGCCACTCTGATGAGTATAAGGTGCTATCTAATTATAGGGGTTTTTTCGTTTTTTGAGAAAGATTAGCCCTGAGCTAACTGCTGCCAATCCTCCTCTTTTTGCTGAGGAAGACTGGCCCAGAGCTAACATCCGTACCCATCTTCCTCTACTTTATATGAGGGATGCCTACCACAGCATGGTGTGCCAAGTGGTGCCATGTCCACACCCAGGATCTGAACCGATGAACCCCGCTCCGCCGAAGCAGAATGTGGGAACTTAACCGCTGTGCCACCCGACCGACCCCTAATTATAGTTTTGATTTGCATATCCCTAATAATTAGTGACGTTGAACATCTTTTCACATGCCTTATGGCCATCTGTGTGTCTTCTTTGGAACAAAGTCTGTTCATACCCTCTACCCATTTTTGATCAGGTGTTCATTTTTTTGTTGTTGAGTTGTATGAGTTCTTTACATATTTTGGATACTAATCACTTGTTGTATATATTTTCAAATATTTTCTTCCACTAGTGGGTTGTTTTTTCATTTTTTTGATGGTTTCTTTTCCTTGCAGAAGTTTTCTAATCTGCTGTACTCCCATTTGTTTATTCTTTCTTTTGTCTCCCTTGTCTAAGCAGACAATATATTTGCTAAGACCTATGTCAAATAGTATACTATCTATATTTTCTTCTAGGATTTTTGTGGTTTCATGTCTTATATTCAAGTCTTTAATCCATTTTCAGTCAATTTTTATTTATGATATAGGATAATGGTCTACTTTCATTCTTTTGTATGAGGCTGTCCAGTTTTCCCAACACCACTTATAAGAGAGACGTTCCTTTCTCCATTGTATGTTCTTTGCTCCTTTTTCAGACATTAGTATCCATAAATGTGTGGTTTTATTTCTGAGCTTTCAATTCTATTCCATTGATTTTTGACTGTCATGTAGCAGTACCACACTGTCTTGATTACTATAGTTTTGTAGTATATTTTGAATTCAGGGAGTGTGATACCTCCAAATTTGTTCTTTTTTCTCAAGATTGCTTTAGCTATTCAGAGTCTTTTGTTGTTTTATATAAATTTCAGTATTCTTTGTTCTGTTTCCATGAAAAATGTCATTGGGGTTGTGATTGGGATTGCATTACATTTGTAGATGTCTTTAGGTAATATGGACATTTTAGCTATGTTTATTCTTCCAATCTATGAGCACAAAAAATCTTTCCATTACTTCATGTCTTCTTTGATTTCTTTCAATAATGTTTTACTGTTTTCAGTGTGTAGGCCTTTCACCTCTTTGGTTAAATTTATTCCTAGGTATTTTATTCTTTTTGTTGCTATTGTAAATGTGATTGTATACTTGATTTCTGTTTCTTTCTGTTAGTTTGTTGTTAGTGTATAGAAATGAAATTTATTTTTTATGTGGACTTTGTACCCTGAAACTCGACAGTATTTATTTCTAGTAATATTTTGGCGGCTTCTTTAGGGTTTTCTATATATAGAATCATGTCATCTGCAAGTAGTGACAGTTTTACTTCTTCCTTTACTATTTGGATCCTTTTACTTGTTTTGCTTTTCCACTTGTTCTTTCTGAAACTTCCAGTACTATGTTGAATAGGAGTGGATAGAGTTGGCATCCTTGTCTTGTTCCTGTTCTCAGAAGAATAGCTTTCAGTTTTCCACCATTGAGTATGATGTTGGCTGTGAGTTTGTCATATATGGCCATTATTATGTTGAGGTACTTTCCTTATATACTCATTTTATTGAGAGTTCTTTACCATAAGTGAATGCTGTATCTTATTAAATGCTTTCTCTTCATCTGTTGAGATTACCATGTGATTTTTATTGTTCATTTTGTTAATGTGATATATCACATTGACTGATATGTGGATATTGAACCATCCCTGCATCCCTGGATTAAATCCTACTTAATAGTGATATATGATCCTTTTTAATGTATTGTTGGATTAAATTAGTTAATATGTCGTTCAGGACTTTTGCATCTATGTGTTGTGTTGTCTTTGTCTTGTTTTGGTATTAGGGTAATGGTGGCCTCATAGAATGAGTTAGGAAACTTCCCCTCCTCTTAAATTTTTTGCAAGAGTTTGAGAGGGATAGTTATTAAGCTTTTTTTGGATGTTTGGTAGCACTCACTGAGGAAGCCCCCTGGTACTGAACTTTTGGTTTTGGAGAAGTGTTTGATTAATGTTTCAATCCCTTTGACTGTGATTAGTCTATTCAGATTTTCTATTTCTTCTTGATTTTTGGAGAGGTTGTATGATTCTAAGAATTTATCCGTTTCTTCTATGTTACCCAGTTTGTTGGCATATGGCTTTTATTAGTATTCTCTTATAATCCTTTGTATTTCTGTGATGTCTGTTGTAATTTCTCCTCTTTTATTTTTGATGTTATTTATCAGAGTCTTCTCTCTTTTTTCTTAGTGAGTCTGGTTAAGGGTCTGTCAATTCTGTTTATCCTTTCAAAGTACCAGCTCTTAGTTTTATCGTTCATTTTTATTGTTTTTGTCTCTATTTCATTAATTTCTGCTCTGATTTTTATTATTTCCTTCCTTCTACCTACTTTAGGCTTCATTCTTTTCTGTGTTCTTTTAAGTATAGTGTAAGATTATTTGAGACTTTTATTTTCATTGAGGTTTTTATTGTTCTTGTATTTTAATTTTTTCAAAGAAATTATTAGTACATTCTCCATTTTTACATATGTTCCTTCAAATATACAAATTCACTCCTAATCTCTGTCTCTTTAGTCATCCCTTCTACTGTTGTATAAACAGTTCTTTCTACTATTCATTAAATACAAAAATTTGGAAGTCTCTAACAATTTTTTCTTCCTTTGTCAGTCCTTAATTGTTTATAGGCTTTAAAGATAGATGTATTCTGCACTGATATATTATTTGGTGTCTCAAAAAGAGGCCTCTTTGAATGTATTCTATATCCCTCCAAAATAAGAGGTACCTTGGGTTAGAATGATGTTAAAAAAGGTGGAGATATGAATAGAATATTGGGGAAACCATTATTTAACTAGCTAGGATATAATGGTCAACTCAGGCTTAACATAAAAGTGATATGTTGATTTTATGCATGATGAATTTTTCTTGTTACAGGAAGATGTTGTTTTAAAGTTTCTGAAATTAATTTTCTCTGATACCTCAAAGACAAACACTTTTATTTATATATATATATATAATGTATATGTATATATATATAATGTATATGTATATATATATATAACGTAATGTTATTATTTAAATGTTTCCATTTCTTTAGCTTCACCTTGCGATCCCATTTTTATCCTGGGCTGTGCTCCCTGCAATGTGATCTGCTCCATTATTTTCCAGAATCATTTTGATTACACAGATCAGAATCTTCTTAGCTTGCTCAAATTAATGAATGAAAACGTCAATATTCTGAACTCCCCATGGGTACAGGTGAGAATACATCCTTTATTTCTGAAAAACCAGTGATACTCTTTTCTCTGGCAAGGCCTAAATTCCATATGGACTAAACTGTGAAGTGAATGTTTGAATAGGACAGTCCTACACAGAGCTTAGTGTTATGGAGCAAACTTCTGGGAAAGATGGCCAAGTTCTTTATTTTACACACAAGAAAATAAATGCCCAAATACAGTTCTTGAATTCAAGTCCATTTGCTCCCTGTCCAGTGGTTTTTCCACTAAATTTCAAAGCCAAGTTCCCATAAATTGTTTTAATGATTGTCCAAAAAGTACAGCTATAGCAATCAATGGGCATCCAAGCCCTTGCTGAAAGGCTTCTGCTACCCAGAAGTATTGCCTTCCAATCGATACGTTAAGGCATCCTCATCACATTACTTGGCAGAAATATCCCAATTAGGGTGTCAAGGAGGGAGAATATTTGGGAATACAGATGCTGCTGAGAAACTCTGAAGAGGGAGAGGATGTTTGATGCTTCAGCTGGGATCCTTGTTGATGAGATAACTAGGTTAGGAATGACAAAATGATTGAGTTTTATGGTGTATGAACCCTAAACAAACACAATTTCACCCAATGCTGAGCTGGCATGTGCTGTAATCTGTTTAAAAGATAATTGTTTGATTTTAGAGAAGTCACTTAACTGCTCTTGTACACAGTTATTTTATGCATAAAATGGATTTCATGGTATTTGAAAGACCCTCTCTATTCTAAAACATTGATTCTGTTTGTGAGTCTGCTTGATACAAGTGAGAAACAGTAAATACTAGCTGATGCTTCTTGTCAGGTTACTCAAACTCCCTTAACCTTCGTTCTCATCTACAAATTGGGAATCATAGGAATTCATGCCACTCTATATTTCCAGGTTGTAGGAAAGTGTTGATGTAAAATAATGAGAGATTTGATATAAATATGTTTAAAAAAATTTTTAATAATGATATGCGTGTAGGAAATGATTAGCATCTTTATCCTCTGGTCATAGTTCTCTCCCTGAAATCTTTGTAAGCATAGGGAATTACAATATATGTGCAGTGAAAATTCCTTCCTAAAGATAGGCACCGTATTTTATTGATTTTTATACTAAAAATTTCTAACCAGGACTTTGCATATGATATACATGTCTTCTTTAACTTTTTCTTATTTAATAATTTTTTCTCTTTCAGGTCTGCAATATTTTCCCTGTTTTCATGGATTATTTCCCAGGGATTCAAAACAAATACTTAAAAAATTCTGATAACATAAAAAGTTATCTTTTGGAGAAAATAAAAGAACACCAAGAATCCCTAGACATTAACAATCCTCGGGACTTCATTGACCATTTTCTGATCAAAGTGAAACAGGTAATAAAAGCTCAATTATTTGATTGTTTGTGCACTTTGTGGTTCATTAATGAATTCTGTAGTTACTAGAGATGTTTACATGGTCAGGCAGGAAATGCTTGGCAACCACTTTCAGTACTTATTGTGAGGATGGATCCGAACTAAGCATCAGGGGAAATTCAAAATTGAATTATTAAATGACTAGAACACATGGACCGTGTCCTTGGGTGCTAATAGTATTCTTGAGGAAGGACAGGATGTGCAACTCAGGTGAAATGGATAATTACAAAAAAGTTACAAAATACAAAATGTTGAGCCATAAAATGAAGATGGAAATGATCATTTGTACTCAGTGTATGGAAGAATGAGAAGGAAGACTTGACCAAGGTGGGCTTCCTGAATATTCTGAGGTTTGAGTAGATCTTGAAATTTTTTCAGTGAAGGGTAAGGGAGGGAATTTCAGGTGGGTTGAATGATGAATGCAGATGTTCAAAGGTGTGATTTGGCAGAAAAGATTAGTTAGGTTAAAAAGCAAACCTTTAACTGAGAGTAACCAAACAGGAATTTGGACAGATAAAGAGTTGGAAGTTGGTGTTTACCAAGTAATTGGTAAGCATGAATGCTGGCATGGAAAATTTTGATTTGATCAGGAAGAAATGTGAGATGGGAAAAGAATGGAATTCAGATAATTATTAGGAAAAATTATCCTGCACTTCCTGTAGAGAGATCTGTATGATGAAAACGGAGCTCAAAGACTAGCCTGGAGATTTTTAATTTCTTTAAACTGATGACTTGATGGTAGATTGGGTCATAGAAGTTCAGAGGAGTCTCAAGCAAAATCAAGGTTATCCATCTTATCGTTTACTCAGAGATCTAGGAAGACAATCAGTTAGGCTGTGCCACAGAAGTCAAAGCAGAAGCAATAGGGATGGCTCAGTGGCATAGTTCTTAAGTTTGTGCACTCTGCTTAGGTGGCCTGGGTTCTGTGTGTTTGGATCCCAGGTTTGGACCTACACATTACTCATCAAGCCATGCTGTGGTGGCATCCCATATACAAAACAAGGGAAGATTGGCATAGACATTATTTCAGGGAAAGTCTTCCTCACCAAAAAAAAAAAAAAAACAAAAAACAAAGAAAAAAACAAAAAAGGAGAAGCAATATTTTAGAAGTAACTTAACAGATAAAAAAACTGGAAAATGAAGAATGTTCTCCCTGGGAACATCCTTGGATTTGAGTAGACTTTGTGTCAGGAGTTCTATAGAGAGTGGTTTTAGTAGAGAAGGAAGGATGGGAGTCATATTTCAGGATCTTGTGTAGTAAATTTTAGAGATGAGACCAAACGTCCCCTATGGTAAGTTCAACCAAGATGGGAAAGATTTGAATGGTGAATTTAAATCGTGGAAGAGTCAAGTTGAGAAACTGAGTAAAAAAGCTAATATGTGTCATGGAGACACTTGTGTTGGTACAAGGTACTCATTGATGGGAAGTGAGGTAGACTCCAGAATAATTTGAAAGAAAAGCTAAGTTTAGAGAAGAAACTTCTTTCCCCCGAGGTCACCATTACCTTATTCAACCACTTTGTAGCACTAGCAAGATACGAAAAATCAGTTATTAGGGTAAGATGTGAAATCAAAGATGCTGAAGGAGATGATATTCAAAGTATTACCCATAGAATTTGAGCTAGACCTTCAAATCATGTGTTCTAGATGGAATAAAGTGAGAAGGTAAAATGATTTGAATAAATTGGAAGAGGTAAAAGGCAAATTTTTTAACTCTGTATTCTCTTCTTTTAGAGCAATGACTCATTCTTTTTGGGGTCCTGTTAATTTGAGAATCTGATTTAATATGTGAACACTTTTCCAGAAGAATGCACCTACATGAGTTCAGCATATTTTTACACAATTATTGGGGTTTCCTTGGTGCTGTGAAGCCTCTTCAGTAATCTCAGGTCAGGGAGAGCTCTAAGATCTTTGGTATTTATATTTCAAGTAGCTATTTCCTGAGTACTATATTTAAAAACAATGTTGTTTCTCTGGACTCACAATGTGTTTAAGGTTCTGGTTAACTTATTTTTTGTAAGAGCTGTATTGAGATATCATTCACATATCATAGCACTTACCAATTGGAAATGCACAATCTAATGGTTTTTAGTATATTTCTGGAGTTATGAAACCATCATCATAATCAATTTAAGAACATTTTCATCACTCTAGAAAGAAACTCCATACTCTTTAGCAGTCATCCCCCATTTTGTCCCAAATGTCCCAGCCCTAGGAAACCACCAATCTACTTTCAGTCTCTAGTATCTGCCTATTCTGAATGTTTTGTATAAGTCAAATTTACAATATGTGGTCTTTTCTGACTGGCTTCTTTCACTTAGCATAACTGAAAGCAGAGCTTTCAATTAGCATGTTTTCAATATTTATTATCATTGTAGCATGTATCAGGACTTCATTCCTTTTTATAGATTAATATTCCATTGTATGAGTATACCTTATTTTATTTATTCATTCATCAATTAATGGACATTTCACTTTTTCCATTTTTTGCTGTTATGAATAATGCTTCTATAAACATTCATGCACAAGCTTTTGTGTAGACATATGTTTTTATTTCTTTTGAATATATACCTAGAAGTGGAAATCCTGGGTCAAATCAAAACTTTATTTTTAACCTTTTGAGGAATTGTGGCTGGAACAAAAATCTAAATGGAAGAGCTAAACTTGTAAAAGTCTTAGAACAAAACACAGGCAGAAATGCAGCTGCAGCATGCTCATATTCCCAGTGTATAATGGTTCTAATTTCTCCATGTCCACATCAACACTTATTACCTGTAGTTTTGATTATAGCAATCCTAATGAATGTGAAATGATCTCTCATTTTAGTTTTGCTTTGCATTTTTCCTGGTGGTTAATGATGTTGAGCATCTTTTCGTGGTTTTATTAGCCACTTGAACATACACTTTGGTGTCATATCTCTTCAGATTATTTGCTTGCTTACTCCAAGGTTATTTATTTTTATTGTTAACTTGTAAGGGTTCTTATGTATTCTAGATAGAAATCCCTTATCAGATATTTTGCCAATATTTTATCCATTTTATGGGTTATATTTGGTTTCTTGGTGTTGTCATTTGAAGTGTCAAATTTTTAAATTTTGATGAAGTCCACTTTACCTGTTTTTTCTTTGGTTGCTTGTGGTTTTGGTGTCATATAAAAAAATACCTAATATAAGATCACAAAGACTTATGCCTGTATTTTCTTCTAACAACTGTATAGTTTAAGCTCTGTCATTTAGGCCTACAATCCATTTTAAACTGATTATGTATATGGGAGGAGTTTCAAGATGGTGGCATAGGAAGATCTTGAACTCACTTCCTAACCTAGACACCAAATCTACAACTGCATTTGGAATAATTCCCTCTGAAATGGACCTGAATATTGGATGAACAGAGCCTCCACAACAAATGATAAAAGGACTGAGTCAAGATAAGTACAAGAGGCAGAGTCATGGGCTTGCCAAAGAACAACACCACAACCACAGCAATCCACAATCAGAGAGATCTCAAAAGTATGAAATGTTTCCCTGAGGAGCAAGGGGTTCAAGCTCCACGTCAGTCACCACAATCTTTAGATTCTACATAGGACAAGTTCCCCAAACACTGGGCTTTGAAAATCAATGGGAATTATGTCCAGGGAAATCATAAAACTATAAGAAATGTAAAACTCACTTTTAAAGTGCTGGCATGGAAATTCACTTAACCTGGAAAAAAGTACAAAAACACTAGTTTGAAATGCACAGAACATAGGTAAAAAAGACTCATTTCTGACTTTAAAGCTTTGGCCACAGAGGCACAAATCAGCTGAGACTCCCTTCCAGGGACTGAGACACTAGTAGGAGCCATCTTTGTGATTTCAGTATATCTTTCTAATACCAGCATTGCTGGGTGCCATTTTTCAACTCTCCCTCTAATCTGCTAGTGCAAGTGAGTGCATCCCACTGAAAATCCCACCTGCCAAATCACTGCTGCAGTAAAAGACATGCCTCTCAGACAGGCAAGGAGCCAGTCCTTCCCACAAATGCGTTGTAGCAGTCACTGATGCACCTGGCAGATGGCCATGGGCTATCCCCATCAACCAACATGCCAAAATAGTCACATAGGCACCTAGCAGCAGGCATGGGGCCAACCCCACTTGCCAATGTGCTGGAGCAGATATGGGTGCAACTAGAAGCTGGGTCAGGGGCCTGTCCTGCCTACCAATGCATCACGGTGGTTGCAACTCCACCCTGAAGTGAACTGAGACCAGACCCGTGATCAACATGCCACAGTCAAGGCCCAGACACAACAGGAAGCTCATGCCTTGAATGCCTGGAACAGATGGTCAGGGAAGACTGTGCTTCAGTATCCCATAGGAAATCTATATAAGGACACTCCTTCAAGACTGGGAGAGGTAGGTGATTTAGCTAATATATAGAAAAAAAAACTCAGTGAGTTGGGCAAAGTGAGGAGACAGAGGAATATGTCCCAAACAAAAGAACAAGACAAAACATCAGAAAAAGAACTAAGCAAAATGGAGATAAGCAATCTATCTTATAAAGAGTTCAAAGTAATGGTCATCAGAATGCTCACTGAACTTGGGAGGAGAATGAATGAATACAGTAGGAGCTTCTACATAGAGATAGTAAATATAAGAAAGAACCAGTCAGAGCTGAAAAATAAGATAACTGAAATGAAAAACACACCAGATGGAATCAACAATAGACTAGATGATACAGAAGAATAGATCAGTGACCTTGAAGACAAGGTAGTATAAATTAATCAGAATAGAAAAGAGAAAAAAGGATTAAGAAAAATAAGAATAGTCTAGGAACCTATGGGGCAACATCAAGTATACCAACATTCACATTCTATAATTGGTTCCAAATGAGAACAGAAAGAGAAAGGGGCAGAAAAGCTATTTGAAGAAATAATGGTGAAAAAGTTCTCTAACCTGTGGAAGGAAACAGAAACCCAAGCACAGGA